TATATGGCTCGATCCACTTGGAATTTTGGAAAAACTAAACCATATAATAACAAATGGAGAATAAGTCTACAGGGGATACTTCCCATGTCTTGGTTTGGGAAAAACATATTTATTATTATTAATATTTTCAATTAAATTACACAAGTTATCCGTTTAACTTTAGTAATATTTAAATGTACTATGATTCAAATGCAAATCCCACTTTACTATTTGGATTAAAGGTAGTTAATTGAAAAAAAATGAATTTTGTGGGTATAACACGAAAAAGATTTCAAGACTTAAAGTCTTGAGTCAATTATGTTAAACACTTGCTATGGTATTACCCGTGATGAAAGAATAAAATTTATTTAAAAAAAAAAATAAAATCTAACCACCTTGATTATTCACAAATTTTAACTTGTCAACTTGATTAGACTTTTGCTCACTAGTCTTGCCTTTTAATATTAATAAAACATGACAGAATGGAAAAAGCTAGGCTTCCCTATTTCTGTAGGGCTCATCAGTCATCACCAATCTCTTCCTTCTTCCCGCCCCTCACAAAGCACAAAACTTTTGTGCTAGTTGAACCATGCAAAACTCTATGGTAAATGACAAAGAAATTGTGTTGGTGCTTCTTCTTTATAACAATCTTATGCAATAAAAAGATGCTGCTTACTTTGACCACCAAACTTCTCTTTTCCAATTTCCTTTTCCCCATTGGAATTTAGTAGAATATTTCTCAATATGGTTTTAAGTATAATATAGCAAAGTAAAACACCAAGATACAAAGAAAAAGAATCCAATAGTTGAATAATCAAACAGTAATGAATTTAATATTAGGGTATGGAAGTTGTAATATATAATACTATATAATAATTGGTCACCTATAGACTAGTTCTCCATAGAAGCTTCACCAAATATCTTCTTTATTTTGGCCAATAAGCTTCACCAGTATCTAGCTTGGGTAAAATCTGGTCAGGGCTTTTAATTTGTACAAGAAACACATCGGACTATGTAGAATTTGAAAGCCACCTAGCCAGACTAATGGATTATCTTGATATTTTTTTTTTCAATATATATTTAATTTATAATTTACTATGGGATTATATATATAAGTAAAAATTACAATAAATATTCAATAATTCTTAACATATTATAAGAATTAATTAAGACTTCATGATCGCAGCATCAATCATGCACCAATAAATTTTGATTACTTGGTACAATGGAATTATTTTTTTTTTCTTTTTCGATATTATGGAAATTTTTTATTGGTAATTAAAAAAATAGTGTTTAATATAAGAATGAATTATTGTGAAGACCAGAAAAGAAAAGAGGTGGAGACAAAGAGGGCTCCACATCCCATTCTCACCATGGTAGGTCACCCATGTCTAACTTTTTGGCACATTATTTTCGTGATTAGCCTCAGCTTTCCAATGCCATGGAGGAAGATCTAGATTACCAGCCACAAAGATTGTAGTTGAGTCTGTTTGCCCTAAATTGCCTCACCAACTGGATCTATAGTATCCAACTTATAGATTTTCATTTTCTTGCAGACAAACTTACAAAGTGCATTAATGTCTCATATTTTGCTATATATTTCTGATTATATCATATGTTAAAACTGTTGACTAGTTGCATCTTAATTTCTTCCAACCAACAGGATGCTCAGAGATACAGCATGTAAGCATCCAGCATCTGATCTGATGTGCAAGGTAATTCCTCATTTCACCAAACAAGGTAAACGTGATCAGAAGTACTTACTCCCACTGGATGTAACACATAGAAGGACAGTTTTGGCAGTTGGACAAGAAAGTAAGGTGTGTTCAACGTTAGAAAATTGAAAGACCAAGTCTGGCACATGGCTTGTTGAATTCACAACATGTGTTCTTGTTTTTATTTTTCTTATCCCTTTCCTTTAATGTTTGACTCATTATCAGCTAGTAAATGTGGTGAAATTCTAGAATTAAGAGAACGATGTCCCTAAATTTGACAAAAAGACAAACATGATGACCCTGGTGTCAAGGGTCATAGCATTTGCTTGAATAGTTAAAGCAGCTAATTCTTCAATTAAGAAGCAAAAGACATTAAAGATCCACATGATTTGGCAAGAAAAATATATCACAAATGTCGAATAAACAAGAGTAAGATATATCTCTATAATTTTTATTTTTTGTTTTGTGCTGGGAATTCTTCGTTTTGGGTTTGGTCTTGCAGGCTTCACATGGTTGTACATTTTGGACTTGAGAAAAGAGAAACACTTGTCAAAATCGAATTATGTTTATTAATAGAAAGTGCAGAATTTCAGTAAAGAATGGAACGTGAGCCCATCTTTTTCCATACATTATCTTGGTGAGATAGGGGACAAAAGCATGGATCACACCGCTCTAGGCTCAAAACATGCGCCAGGCTTCAGCAATTTTCTGATCTTAAAAAGCCACTTGCCGGTTTCAGATGCATAAGCCTCCCAAATTTTGCAATTTGCACCATCACTTTTAATTGAATATACAATATCTATTAATTTCGCCATAGTCAAACTATGGTTTCCAGTCAACTTGAAACAGTTACTAATTAACGCAATAGATAGCGATGAAAATGACAAAATACTACTAGTACTACTACTAAAGTTGTCTTGGGCTTGAAGTTGATGGACTTAAGAGCACCTGGTTGAGTGGCACTATGTGCGGAGCGATTGTGTATAAAAATGCAAAAACAAAAGAAGGCATATGCTTTCATATTTTTTTTCTTCATTGGTTTTGATTATGATGGGAAACTAAATCATTTTGTATACTGAAAACAATCACGTAATCAACGAAAGAAGCATGTTTATAACACTAATTCTCTTGTCATTTCATGGGTCTAATAAAGCATCCTAAGAGGAATTGTAATAGTTGAATCCAAGCCATCTAGCCAGCCATAATTGTAATACTTGGTCCTATATCATATGATAATTGGGTGTAGGCTTTATTAAGGTTGGAATTATTCATATACTCGTATGCATAATATTTTTCCTCTTTCCATATCATAACATCAATTATGTATATGCCAATTTAGTTGAGAGAAATAAAGAGAAAAACTCTTTGGTTCTTGAGCCCTTTTCTTCTGTTCTCCTCTATCTCAAATACCAAATTGAGTCCTGATTTTGGTCCCTTTTTTTTATCTAAAAATATATATAAAACTATAGAATGAGTGCTAATTTTCATGAGATTCAACTGTCCTCCCCCAGAAAGGAAAAATCTAATCAAATATATACAAAATAGCTCTTTGCTAGCAAACTTTTAGACTGAATAATGTATGATAACAGATGCCGAAGATTTTCAGCTATCAGATTTTTACAGTCATTTCCTTCTGCCTGCTAGAATACATTATCAATTGTACTCTATCCTCAACATGATAACTTTAAAAAAGGAAAAATCTTGCTATTATCATTGAACCTTTTTGGTACGTTTTATGACTTAACTTAAAGCTTAGCATTTCACAATATATTGATTTCCTTAATCCATATAACATGAAATGAGAGCTTCTTAAGCTTTCTTGAAGACAAAGTCATCGAGGGTATATCCTTTTTCTGAAGGAATAATAAGCATTCATGGTGTTTCGGAACCCCCAGTATCTAATTTATTTCATTAAAAAGCAGAGGTACTTCTTTGAAAAGGACACTCCACATCAAATGCTCCTAGCTTCACAGGCATACAGAGCAAAGGCAATGGAAGTAATTGCTTGACATTCTCCTCATCATCATTTTCTCTCTTCAGCTTAGAGGGTCGAATCAATCAATGAACTACCCTTTGGGAGATAGAATTTGGGTCCCAAATCAGATAGTACCAACCTCCTTTGAGCTGAGTATGGGTCTATAAGATTCATATCTCTTTGTATAAATGCAATGCATTTGAAAATTTTCACTTAATGGGTAATCAAACAATAAATAAAGAGAAGATTATACCTGCAAGAATGGTTTTTGTTGTTTTGTTCATGGCCATTAAAGCTATTAATTGGGCACCTATTTTCAGACGTAAGAAGGTTAGAATTGTTAAAGTATCTTCATAACAGGATTCAGATTTTGCAACTACCCCTTCTTATTTAGAGTAGAACAAAGTTAATTCGGAAACAAGGCATTTGCTTTTGTTTGTCTCATTCTAGTTAATGCTTTAGTTCTTATTTGGAAAATAATATTTATGCAAAATTAAATCTTGTTGTCATGCATTTAAAAGTAACTAATGAAGGATTGTGTGATCTGGTAAACCTCTTTCAAGGGTAAGCACTAAAAATGAAGTTGACAAATAACAAAGAAAAAAGCATACGTTTCCAATGATAACAGGGTGAGAAATGAGAAGTAAATTTTCGTGGTAACAGTAATTTCAATGACAATTTTTAGTGTGGCCACATTTGATTAATGCCAGGAGGAGAGTGGAATGATGTATTTCAGTCAACCAGGTCAGAAACTCACAATGCACCAAGAAAAAAACATTGGGTTTGGGTAGATAAAAATGGGAAATGGGAAGGGAAAACTACTTCTCCAGGTTGTGCTTTGTCTGCTGCAATATTTTACTAGTAACATGAACCTGATCCTTGCCCTCACAAGGAGTCTTTCCTTCAGAGCCTTCTTCAATCCTCTCCCAGATGTACTTTTTTAAACTTTTAGGTACAAGCAGTTAATGACAATTTCCTGAAAAAGTGAAAGTGTTTAATCTTTGGCTTTTGCCATTGGAGCAGCTAACAAACTATCAATCAGAAAATGCCACAACATCCAAAAAGTGAAAAGAAATTCAGACTCTTGGGTGGGTTATATCAATAACTCAATTGAGCTTTACTTGTATAATGACAAAAAGGTCCTTGGCAAGAAAAAATGCTTGTAATCTTGCAAACTGAACTCGTCAAAAAGTCCACTCACCCCTCTAGTTGGAACAGTTAATGCTCTCAGATTTTATGGTCACCAAAAAAAGTATTACTACAAATGAAAATTAATAGGAGAAGGGGAGTCATTAAAGTCCAAATAGGACCAAATCTGACTATAAAATGCCCCTCTTTCTCCCTCTATCTATTGCCCTGCTTTCCTCCCTCAGACTCTCTCCGCATTCTCCTCTCTCTCTCTCCTTCGCGCAGTACCATCTGTTTCTGTTCCATTTTGATAGAAAGAAACGGAATCTGCATTGGCTGGCACAGTTGTGAGAGAGCAAGAGGAGGGCTGGCAAGTAGCTATTTCTGTTCTTTCATTTTCTGGGATAATTAGAGGAGGGAGTGACAGATTTGAATTGGGTTCTTAACTTTTTTGTGTTAGTTTCAATATAATCAAAGGCTTCTTCCAAGTTATATAAAGGCCCATTTTCAACTACATTGTTCACAAAAAACCACTGAGAGAGATTCTTTTTTGGCTTTTCTTGGTATCTTTATTTCTTATCCCCTGTTTTTTCTCTGTTTTCCTCTGCTCAGCTGAGTGGGAGACAGGCAGAGATGGCTCAAATTTCAGCAAAGCTGCTGATTCCAGAGTCCTTTCAAGTGTCAAGAGATGATATTACAGGTCAACTTGGTTTGATTTGGGAGCTTATCAAAGCACCATTAATTGTTCCTTTACTGCAACTTGGTGTCTACATTTGCTTAATCATGTCACTCATGCTATTCATGGAGCGTGTTTACATGGGAATAGTCATTATTCTTGTTAAGCTCTTCTGGAAAAAACCAGAGAAGCGTTACAACTTTGAGCTTATTCAAGATGATGTGGAACTTGGTAGCTCAAATTTCCCTGTGGTTCTAGTGCAGATCCCAATGTTCAACGAAAAAGAGGTCAGTGTCTCTCCCTATTTTTTCCTCTGTTTTCTTCTCGGTGAACTTGTTTCTTTTTGGTATTCTGTTTCTGGGTTTCAGGGAAAAGGCTCAAACTCAAAGTTTGGTGCTTTATGATTATTTTTTTCTTCTGTCCATTGGAACAGGTTTACAAGATCTCCATTGGAGCAGCTTGTGGACTCTCATGGCCGTCCGATCGTCTCGTGATCCAAGTACTCGATGATTCCACTGACCCTGCAATCAAGGTAAAAATGTTACAAAGTCAAAACCAATCACTTTAAACACTCCCCAATACGTTTCTCTACCCATTTGTTTTCATGATGCATTTGGCTCACTCATTTCCTTAAATTTCCTCTTCAGTTGCTCACCAAAGATTATGCAATTTAATTCTCTTAATAATATCAAATCCTTCTTCCTTCATATCAGCTAACCTTCAGCTCTTTCTTTTATAGCATTATGCATTACTGTCATTGTTTAAATGTCGAAGCATAAAAACTCATTTACTCCCAGCATTTATTTGCCGTCACCTTCCTCTCATCATTGAATTCTTCATTATTATCCCCAGTGGTTTTTAAAACGGCTGAAATGGGGTTTGAGTTTGAGCTGATTTTGTTCGAAAATCATGTAGCTAATGGTAGAGCAGGAGTGCCTGAGATGGGCAAGCAAAGGCATAAACATAACGTACCAAATCAGGGAAAACAGAGGAGGTTACAAAGCTGGAGCCTTGAAAGAAGGGTTGAAGAGAAGCTATGTCAAACACTGTGAATATGTGGCCATTTTCGACGCCGATTTCAGGCCTGAGCCTGACTTCCTTAGGAGAAGCATCCCTTTCCTGGCCCGCAATCCAGACATTGCTCTCGTTCAAGCTCGCTGGAGATTTGGTAAGCTAAACCTTATTCTCTTAATTTAATTTAATTTCATTAATTAATTTCTCTCATTTAATGACCTGATTACCTTGCTGCATAAATGTCTCAAGAGTGTCGGTGGTATTCTACTATTTGGTTTTTTATATATAATTTTCCCAGGTGAACGCCTTTTATTTTTTGTTTTAATTCCGTAATTGGGTTTTGGTTTTTGTCGGCGGAATTGGTTGCAGACTGCATGGGGCATAACTGGGTCCACAAAAAAACCCACCAATCACGGGTGGGGACCCCAGTTTGCCCTTAGCCCTCTTTTTAATCAGCCGTACATCATTGTTCATGGGACCCACCTACGAGAATTATAGTATTGTATGATAATACATAATCAATCTTAATAGTAGGCAGCAGCATTACAAGATGTGATTAGTTGAGGAAATTACACATTACCCACCATTTAAAACTACCTAAATTAAAAATGCCAAAAAATAAATAACTTAGTCTTAGTCTTCTCTTAGCACCATTTTATATGTTAAGACACAAATGTTTCCGTTAGGAATTTTGAAAAAGTAATTGTCGTTTTTAATATTGAAAAATCAACAATTTGACATTGAACTTGAAATTTAATAAAACACGTTTCGGTGTGAAAATTAAATGGAAAATGATATCTACTAATTCAATGTAAATATGATTAAAATTTATATGTCATGTATGACATGGAAATTCGTTTAGTGTCTTTTGAATTTATTTTATTCTATTAGGAAAACTGTAAAATTATTTGTCTTTTTGTTCCTGGTGAAGTGACTTTTATCTGGGATTAGCTCAATCAATGGGCTTTGTTCTTCTATTTTTATTAACTTGCAAGTGATTTCGGGGGTGGTTTTGTCACTTTAGAATAAAAGAACAAAGAAGGGTGGGATTTTGCTCTATTAATCAGAGACCCAGATTATACCGATCACGTGGTCAACAGAAAGGGTCCCCTTAACACCTTGGAGGTTAACATTGTCATTTCAATGGCTGCAGCCACTCAACTTTCCACGTGCCGTTTAACTTTTTTAGTTAAAAACTGGGTCCTAGCTAAAGCGTAAAGTTAAGATGCGGGCAGTACTATATCCCCAGTGGTGGACCTTACTCCACTTTGCCGACACTTGGATTTTGTTTTCAAGTACTGCTGGGATTTTTTTTATTTTTCTTGAGAAACAAAAAAAAAATTGTTTCGAAATTGTTGTTTGGGTGCATGAATTTAACATTATAAAATAAGGCAGTCAGTTACATAGATTTTAGAAGCAACCCTCATGCACTTGTGACGTGGCACATTCTGATTTGAATCATGTGAGGACAACCAAGTCTAAACGACTTTTATTTTTGTTTGTTTCTCTCTACCTTAATAGGATTCCAACATGGAAAATAACTGCCTAAGGTGCCTTCAACTAATATCTTTACCTCACAAAATTAAAAATTCATAGAGGGAAAGTTTGAGGATAATCTTAGCGTCGTGATTATTTAATTTTAATTATCCGTATAAGGTATTCAGGTTACTATGAATTTGATGAAATTAAATAATTATGATGCACATTATTATTTTGAAAGATTTTATTAAAGTGATGATCATTTTGCAGTGAACGCGGACGAATGCTTGTTAACAAGAATGCAAGAGATGTCATTGGATTACCATTTCACAGTGGAACAAGAAGTTGGGTCAGCAACACATGCTTTCTTTGGTTTTAATGGTAAGACCTATTTTTCTCATTATTCATTTAACAATTAGTTTTGGTTTGTGCCTCTTTGGTTAGGCTAACTGCATTTCTCCTCCTTATTGTATTTATTTTCCTAATCAATTTGGGTGACATCTGCTAAGAGCCTAAGACTTCCTCAAAGTTCTTAGTTTACCAGTTAAGTGATGGTGACTCTTGCTTTTACAAATACGTGTAGTTGGTGCTTGAGGGTGACTGGAACTAGGAACAATTTTCTAGCAACGAATTGACCAACTCAACAAGATTGTCTCTTAAGAGTGTCATAGAATTTTCATAATTTTCATGATAAACAATGTACTTAGTTTGAGCCTTTCAACGATACTTGAGCTGAAAATTTGTAGATGTTAAAGTTGTAGGTTAGAGTGTTGTTGAAAGTCTGCTTTTCTCAAGAGAGATTTAGTATCTGATTTGATTCCTCCAATGCTGCTTGAGGGTAAATACATAACAAAATTTTAGGTACTATTTAAATACTTGAATGATCAAAGCAACTCTGCCATTCTTAACCCTTGTCAGAGTCATCAAATTATTCATAAATGATGGTAATTAATCACGTAAACATCAAGAATGTGCATTAGATTCCCTATCTAGTGGCTGCTGTCAATTACTAGAACTTAAATTTATGCACGATCCAAATGCAGGAACTGCTGGTATTTGGAGAATTGCTGCCATTAATGAGGCAGGTGGGTGGAAGGATAGAACCACCGTGGAGGACATGGACCTCGCTGTCCGAGCTAGTCTTAGGGGATGGAAATTTGTTTACCTAGGTGATCTTCAGGTATTATTTCTCTGTGATTATGCAATGCATAGTCCCCATCGAGTGAGCAGGTGACTTATGCTTCTCTATGTCTTCCTTAGGCGAAAAGTGAACTTCCTAGTACTTTTAAGGCCTTCCGCTTCCAGCAGCATAGGTGGTCTTGTGGTCCTGCTAATCTATTCAGGAAAATGGTGTGGGAGATCATTCAGAATAAGGTTAGTTCAGCTTCAGGACTGCTGTAAATTTTCTCATACATATAAGGTTGTAGTTTTAAGACTTTCCCTTCTCCTTTTACATCTTATACTGTTACTTGATTTTTCTTATTACGTATTGCAGAAAGTGAAATTCTGGAAGAAAGTATATGTTATCTACAGCTTCTTCTTCGTCCGAAAGATCATTGCTCATATGGTCACATTTTTCTTTTACTGTGTGGTTCTTCCGCTTACCATTTTGGTTCCTGAAGTTAAAGTTCCTATTTGGGGAGCCGTTTATATTCCTTCTGTCATCACCATTCTAAACTCAGTAGGAACTCCAAGGTATAGTCTACCCTAAATTGGTTCTCTGTTGTGATATCTACTTTAACATGATTTGCAACAGCAAAGACTAATTTTCTTTGCATTTGCAGATCCATCCACCTATTATTTTACTGGATTCTTTTCGAGAATGTGATGTCATTGCACCGGACTAAGGCAACATTTATCGGTCTCCTGGAGGCAGGCAGAGCCAATGAGTGGGTTGTCACTGAGAAACTAGGAGATGCTGTCAAGAAAGCAGCAGATGCTGCTAAGAACAAGACAAATGCCAAAGCACCCAGGAAATTTAGATTCAAATTTACTGATAGGTAAGAACTCATCTTAACTCTTAATCCAATTGGCATAAAGAATTTAAGATTCGTCTGAGGTCATCTTTCTTATTTTTACTTCTATAAAATACTGCCCACCAAATCTGCATATTATAAGCAAAAAAAAAATATTTGCCTACTCAACCTAACCCCATAAGTTCTAATGGTCAAATATTTAGTGCATTGCTCCCTCCATTACGGTGGTTGAGATTCTGTAGGTTGGCACCTTATTAAATAGACAGTCAAAGTGATCAGAGATAGTACATTCTATGGATTCCATTGTTATTGTAGTTGCAGAGAGATAAGGCTCCTATCCTACCTAACTTCACATGATTCTATTGATAGCTACTTAGCTGCTACCAATAGATATGTCTGGAAACTTACTACGTCTTCTCTGAATTAAAAATTTGCATAAGACAATATTATAATATGTGAACATTATATTTAGGGACCACTAGTATAGGTTTTTTATTCCTCTTCGTTTATTTACCACTACCAGGAAGGATACTTAGCTGTTGTGAATTTTTCTGTGTGTGATTTCTTGTACTTGTTTTCTTAACAGACTCAACACATTGGAGTTGGGATTTGCAGCATTCCTCTTCATTTGTGGATGCTATGATTTTGTCCATGGGAAGAACAACTACTTTGTATACCTCTTCCTCCAAACAATTACCTTCTTCATCACAGGAATTGGCTATGTTGGCACCATCATCTAGTGGCAGAGTCCTGGTAGCATTTGTGTTGGTGTATCAGTGTTTTTCTCCCCCACAAGCAAAAGTATTAAGTATAAGTGGGAGTCTGTCTGCAACATTTGACTGCAACTATCACTTATTTTTAGCTCATTCAAACAGAAACAGGTCATTCAACATATTCAGCACAAAAGCTGTCGCCATCTCTCCCTCAGAATCATTCCAGTAAATGGAGAATTCACCACAAAACAAATGCTGTTGTTATGCCAATATATTATACAGAGTCAAGGACAAAGAAAATGTTAAAAGAGCCTGTAGTAAAGACAACAGGGAGATGATGTTATTTTCTTTGGACAGTTTGCCTGTAATTGTGAGATTTTTTTTTTCCTTTCTCTTATTTATTTTGGATTTTTATTTTTGGGTTTCCCATTTGTTAGTTTTTACTCAAGCTTTTTGAAGGGAATAAAGTGATTGATAGAAGGGTGAACTTGTAATCACAGTTAATTTATCAAATTCCCAGTATTTATATGTTTCTGTTATATCCTTGGATTTGTATTCAAAACCCTATAAAGGGAATTTGCCAGCCTATTAATGATTCCT